ATGTCATTATTTTACTTTCAAAATGAGGAGATGATCTAACACTAAGTTATAAGAATGAAACACAAATTATAATTCACAAAAAATAGATAACTTTTACTTGCTTCATTTGGAAACATAATTACAGTATTTCATACTTTCTCAAGTTTCACAAAAATGTTCTAAGTAATTAGCCCAAACAGACTCTAAGAATTTGAAAGGGTTATTACATTTTTTTCTGTTGCAGTTTTGCTTACAGAAAATTATTTACAACTTAATAGCATTGAAGAGTTGTATGCAATAAACTTATTTAACATAGGTCACTTAGTGGTTCAGGTTGAAGTCTGGAGACCACTCTTAATAAAGACGTTTTTGTTATCTTTGCTGTTTTTTATTTCTTTATTTGAAAGGAAGAGTTGCAGAGAGGCAGAGACAGAGAGACAGTGAGAGAAAGATCTTGCATCCACTGGTTCACTCCCCAAATGGCTGCAGTGGCTGGAGCTGGGCTGATCCAAAGCCATGAGCTAGGAGCTTCTTCCGGGTCCATGTGGCGGCAAGGACCCAAGGACTTGGGCCATCTTCCATTGCCTTCCCAGGTCATAGCAGAGAGCTGGATCAGAAATGGAGCAGCCATGTCTCAACCGGCATCCATATGGGATGCCAGCACTGCAGGCAGCAGCTTTACCTACACCACAGCGCCGGCACCAGGAGACCACTCTTAATGACATATTATTTTATAATTTTATTGTTTTGTTGCTAGCTCGTGGTGAATATCATGTTTCCCCTTTGCTGAAATTCCAGAAAACCCATCTAATATATATTGTATTACTTGTTTCAGTTTTTGCTTTCCTTGATTACTATGGTGAAGTAGCATTTTAATAGCTTTTACATTGTGAAGCTTACACTATTTTCAGTGTAGCAGGCTGAAAATATACTCCACTCATCAAAGGTTTTGTAGAATAAGGGCAGGGCATTTTGCCAGGAGCAGAGTAAGAAGTATGATTAATAAGGAAAGGTTAAAGATGGAAATGCTTTGGAGTAAGTGATTCAATTGATGAGAAGGAAACAAGAGTCAAGAAGGGCAAAAGATTGTAAGAAAGTATCCATCTGCTGAGAATTAGTTCGGGTCTCTTGACCTGGATAAATTATTTTCTTGGGGCTGATAGTATCTTTGAATGGGACTGCAGAGTTGCTTTTTTTTTTTTAAGATTTTATTTATTTATTTGAGAGGTAGAGTTACTGTCAGTGAGAGCAAGAGATAGAGAGAAAGGTCTTCCATCCACTGGTTCACTCACCAAATGGTCACAGCAGTCAGAGCTGGGCTGATCCAAAGCCAGGAGTCAGGAGCTTCTTCTGGGTTTCCCATGTGGGTGCAGGGGCCATCTTCTACTGCTTTCGAGGCCGTTAGCAGGGAGCTGGATCAGAAGAGGAGCAGGCAGTCCCAAAGGGATGCTGGCACCACAGGCGGAGGCTTAGCCTAATTTGCCACAGTGCCGGCCTCCTCTTGGTTATCTTTGAGGACATGTAGAGAGTAATAGGATAATGCACAAATGCTATTCCATATATAAAATGCCTATAAATTACATTCAGTGGACTTAATTCAATCTCAGACTAGATCATAGAATATATGTGTCAGTAATTGGTGATTTGTGAAGATGTATATATTAGTGAAAACAACAACCTTGTCCCATTGGAGCCAATATGTAAACCAAGCCATTTCATTTATCTAAAGTTATTAGATCCAAAAAGTACAGTAGGAGTAGAATCCTCATATATGGACTTTATATAGGTGTTTGACAAAGTTTGTCATAATATTCCTGAAGACAGTATGAAAAATATATGTATACTCACACATACCCACACGCAGTTGAATAATGATGAAAAGTTATACTTGAAATGTACCAAGTAGTAGGTCAGTATTAACCAAGGTGATATGACATTCTGTGAAATTCTAAAACTTTGTCATATTTAACACTTTTAAAGAATTTTGTCAGGGTTTTTTTTCTAAAAAGATTGTTTTATTTATGTGAAAGACAGAATGACAGAGAGGGAGAGACAGAGAGGTAAAGACCTTCCTTCTGCTGGTTCACTCTTCAAATGGCCACGTGAGGGAGTGGCTTAGAACTCCTGGATCTCACATGTGGGTGGCAGGGGCCCAAGTACTTGGGCCATCTTCTGCTGCTTTCCCATGCACATTAGCAGGGAGCTGGATTTGAAACTGAGCAGCTGGACTCCAGTCGGCCCTCTGAAATGGGATGCCATCATCACAGGCAGCAGCTTCAATTGCATCACAACACCAGCTCCCATGTTTAATATTTTAATATCAGTGAGTCAGATGGATAAAATGATGAATGAGGATCAAATTTGCAAAAGATACAAAGCTTAGAATTTCTTGAATACCCAAGTTAATAGCTAAAGATTGAATCTAAGATATATTTATCTTCATCTATCTGTCTAGGTTGAGTCTAAAACATTTTTATCTTTATCCAGCCATCCATCCATTCATCCACATGTATGAATCTATGTATGTATGCGTACACACATACACTTGAGTCTAATGGAAGATACATATTTACATTTATATTTCTGCACTTGGATCTGAAATGCCAAATGTTCACATAATAGAATGGAAAGTACTGGTTGCAAAAAAATAGGTTGCCCAAGGGGGGAAAGAGAATGGTGGAGGAAGATTGGGTGTGGATCCCAAAGGGCAAGTAGGGCAGCCATATTTCAAGAGGGACCAAGGCAAGGGACTAGAAGGTCATCAGATGTGACAGTATAGGGTACCATTCTTTCCTTTTTCTCTGTGGAACTACAGTGTCTTTATCTTAGCTTCTCTTTGCATGTCTATTGTTTCTTTGTTCTCATCCCAATAATATGGCTTACTCTATCTTGCACATGACCCTTCTTCCTTATGGCTGCTTTAAATGTAATCTAAATGCCTGGATCATCTATACTTACAAGCCTAGTTGGCTCACCCCAGTTTAGGATTTGGCCAGTGTCTTATCACAGCACACCAATTAGCCATAACCAGGGTGTACAGGAAGAAGGAATCTTATAGCTAGGACTGTGGAAAGTGGATTTTCAAAAAGGGGAACATAGAAGGGAATGAAATGGTTGGTGTATTCAGTATAATGTGATGTAGGTTTCCATTGCAGTGTTTTTGTAAGCTGGGCATTTATTTAACATAAAAGTCAGTTACAGTATATAATAGCAAAAATTACAAAAGGCCAATTTAATCTGTTTGCAATAGAAGATATTACTAATGGTAATACTAGTAAGATATTAAAGTAAGAGAAGTTTGAATGCTCTCTTAACTTTTTTAGTGAGACCAATCATACTGAGTTATTCAGTTCTGGGCACTATACTTTGAAATACATTTATAGATCCCTGGAACAAGTTCAGAGAAAATTATGTAGAATAAGGAAGAAATTCAAAACCATGTATGTGGGAAATAGCTGAAGAAATGGAAAGTGTTGACCTGCAGAAGAGATAACATGGTGTGTCCCTGATGGCTGTCTTCAAATATTAGAAAGATCTTTGTATGAATGAAGCCTGGGATTGTTCCAAATGGTGACTCAGATGATTAGGACGAGTAGGTGTTCCAGAGAGGCAGATTTGGGGTGAGTGTGAGAAAGGACTTCATGAGAGATGAAACTGGCAGAAGATGGAATAGGATGCCTTAGAAAGTAGCTTCCCATCATTTGGGATGCTAAAATAGAGGCTGGACAACAATATGTGTTGGTTGGAATAGACTCTGTGAGTCTATCCAGAGCTTGAACCAAGTTATCTTTTTTTATTTCTTTTAAACCTGTAGTTTTACAAATTTATAAATCTGGTATCAGTGGAAATTAAATGACTATTACAATTATATATGTCCCATAGTATTATGGTTTCAACTTTATTTTTTATTATTAAAGTTTAAGTGAGCCAGATTCTACTTCACAAAATTTTGTTATTAGTTTCTTCTAACAAGTTGTGTTTGTATATTAGCATTGATAAACAGATATTGTGGCATAATTCTTAATTACAAGAGCAGTTTCTGTAATCTCAAAGGAGGTTGCATTAAGAGTAACTAGTCTGAATAATCCAAGAGTTGATTTCAAGGTAGTTTTCTAGAGCAAATATTTGTGAAGCTATCTCTTATCCTTTGTGAATAGTAAAGCAAGCAAAGGCTACTTGAGGAATATTTGTACTTCATGGGGAAAAAAGAACCTTTCCCTCCTGACTTTGCTAGAATTCCATTTTTATATTGTTCCTGTGTTGGCCAAAGCCATAGGAATGCTATCTGAATGAAGTTAGAGAGTTTAACTGACATATGCATGGTAGGTGAATATAATACAAATGAGTGAAGGTATAGGTACAAGGTTTTAATCACAGTTTCTCCACACATCAATTAGTTATTGAGCTTTAATAGCCTCAGTTTTTAAATCTGTAAATTGGATATAATCATACCTACTGAGGAGAAAAGAACTGACTGACTTTAGTTAGAAGAGATTGAGTTCAAAGTATTTTTCTTATTTGTAGGTTTATGATAGAATGTTAAATTATGTAAGAATTATAAAATGTTGACACTGAATGGATACTTACTATTTATTTGGGCCAAAGTCATAATTTTACAAATGAGGAAAATAAGATCTGAAAAGGCCAAAAAGCCTCTCCGGGGTCACTGAGCAGTTGCCAGTGAGAGACGCTGATTTCTTCCAACTTTATGGAAAACTCATCTTAAGAAAACAATTGTAGACTTTTTTCTCCATTTTTAGTTTCATTTTATGGAGAATATTTCAAGAATAAATCTACTTTGAAAGACCATTTTCTAATTCTAAGGTTTTGTGTCAGTGTCAGTATGCTAGTTTCTAAAATGGTATCCAGATGTAACCAGGGGCATAGTTACTGTCTTATGGCATAGCACACTGTATATTTATGTCATTTGACCAGCATGGTTGCAATAACATTTTCAGTTGGACACTATTTTTTAGAGTCTAAGAAATATCATTTCAGTAAATGTATGTTCTGTTTCCTAGATGTCGCCAGAAGAAAAAGTTTGTAAGTACTGTGGAGTCAGCTATCTAATCCTTCATGAATTTAAGGCTATGGAAGAAAAAGTGAAAGCAATGGAAAAAGAGTTGAAATTCTATCAAGGAAGTATAGAACGTGAAAAGAGGCTTCAAGAAAAGCTACAGTCTCTTAGCCAAGATTTTGAACAGTACAAAATTGACAATGAATCCAAAATTGAAAGGTTGGAGTATGTTTTTTTCTATCATTTATTAGTTTGAAAGAAAAGTATTGAAAATAAGTATATGTTGAATGTTTTTCTAGAATCTCTATGTCAAATGTAATTTATACTTTAATACATTTTACTTTCTTTATATTAATAATTATTAAATATAGTTATCAATTATAGCTTGAAGCTTCCTCTTGAGGAATATATTCGCTATCAATAATTAGAACCCCGTAAATTCAGTAACTGTAGATCTGGATGAGTCTCTTCTTTGTCCTTAGAAATATATCTTACTTTTTATTAAGATGTATTTACCAAATATATGATGAATTTTGGTAGCTTTTGGAAGTTGACCAGTTGTTTTTAAAAGACTTAAATTTTTATATTTATAGAATAAGATCTTAATGTTTTGAAAAGGATGCTAAAATTAGTTCATAATTATAAATCATTATAATTGGAATAAAAATGGGTTCCTACCACTGTAGAATCTAATCAGCAGTTCGGTCTGCCTAAAGACATTTCAATGAGTTTATACAGACATTTCTACAGAAAGATTTTTTCTGTTTTTTTTTTTCTTTTATCCTATGAATGAAAGTTTCTCAATTTAAAATATTGACAATTGATAAACTTTGAGATAATGAATTTAGTGGCTATCATATTTATGTAAAAGTAGTTATTTTTTAAAAATCTCTGAGAATTAAGTACTTTTACATGGGTACTTTACAAAGCGTGTGGGAAAATAGAATTAAAAGAAATTTATTTTTGTGCAAAAATTTTGAAACCTGTGCATATTAGAGATCTTCAGGAAGTTTATTTAAAAATAAAGCAGATTGTGAAAAAATTATGCCTGAATTTCAAACATTTTTTGCCCTGAAATAAGCTTACACTTATTTTTTTAGAGATAGAGCCACAGTGAGAGTGACAGGTACTGACAGCAAGAGTACCCATAATACCAAATTGTCCTTAGAGAAGATAGCATTAATTTACATTTGGCCAGTAATTTATGAAGGGTCATTTTCCTACATCCTGTTAATATTGATGTCTTGTTTTTTTTTTTTTTCATTCTCTTGAGTAAAAAAAGTTACCTAAGAAGCCTGAACATCTCTCTGTGTTTATTATACATTTATATTTCTTATGCTATTGATTAGCTATATACATACATTGTCTAGTTTTCTATTGGCTTATTTGTTTATTTTTATTTACTTGTAGGTGCTTTTTTAAAGATTTGTTTATTTATTTATAAGACAGGATAGCAGAGAGAGAGGGAGAAAAAAAAAGAATAGAAGGAGGGAGGGAGAGATCGATCTTGGATCTGCTAGTTCACTCCTCAAATGCCTGCAACTGCTGTGTTGGCCCAGGCTGAAGACAGGAGCCAGGAACATCTAGGTCTCCTATGTGGGTGGCAGGGACTTAAATATTTGAGACATCCTCTGCCGCCTCACATGCACATTAGCGGAAAGCTGGGTTAGAAGTGGAGTAGCCAGGACTGGAAACAGGCTATGTGATATGGAGTACAGGTGTCCCAGCTGGCAGCCTACCCTGCTGAGTCACATTGCCTGCCCATATTTGTAGAAGTTTTTAATATAATATTGGCCTTATACTTTATGTATGTTTGGTATTTTTTAATGATTTATTTATTTATTTGAAAGGCAGGGCCGGCACCGAGACTCAATAGGCTAATCCTCCACCTGCGGCGCTGGCACACAGGGTTCTGGTCCCGGTCCCGGTTGCTCCTCTTCCAGTCCAGCTCTCTTCTGTTCCCCGGGAGTGCAGTGCAGGATGGCCCAAGTCCTTGGGCCCTACACCCGCATGGGAGACCAGGAGAAGCACCTGGCTCCTGCCTTCGGATCAGCGTGGTACGCTGGCCGCAGTGTGCCGACCGCAGCGGCCATTGCGGGGTGAACCAACGGAAAAAAGGAAGACCTTTCTCTCTGTCTCTCTCTCACTGTCCACTCTGCCTGTCAAAAAAAAAAAAAAAAAAAAAAAAGCAAGAAAGAAAGAAAGAAAAAGAAAGGCAGAGTTACACAGAGAAAGAAGGAGAGGTAGAGAGAGAGAGAGAGAGAGAGAGAGAGAGAGGTCTTCCAGCTGCTGGTTCACTCCCCAATTGGCCGCAACGGCCGGAGCTGTGCTGATCTGAAGCCAGGAGCCAAGAGCTTCTTCCTGGTCTCCCATGCAGGTGCAGGGGCCACCCAAGGACTTGGCTGTCTTCACTGCTTTTCCCTGCCATAGCAGAGAGCTGGATTGGAAGTAGAGCAGCCAGGACTTGAACTGGTGCCCATGTGGGTGACTAGCACTGCAGGCAGCAGCTTAACCCACTACGCCACAGTGCCAGCTCCAATGTTTAGTATTTTCTCATGATAACTTACCTTTTAATTATGTTTATTATATTTTTTACTGTTGTTTTAAAAATATTTGATGGCAAATTCTGTTTAGATAGCATTCTATGTCAAGTTCTTTCTGTTGCAAATAATGGAAAATTACTCTGACCAACACTAACTTAGACACAAAAAGGAAATTATTAGAAGACCATGAGGTGGTAACTCAATGAAAGAAAGGAAAAAACCTCAAGTTCACTGATTTTAGAAATGGACAGGGGCTGGCGCCACAGCTCAATAGGCTAATCCTCCCCCTAGCGGCGCCGGCACACCGGGTTCTAGTCCGGTTGGGGCACCGGATTCTTTCCCGATTGCCCCTCTTCCAGGCCAGCTCTCTGCTGTGGCCCGGGAGTGCAGTGGAGAATGGCCCAAGTGCTTGGGCCCTGCACCCCATGGGAGACGAGGATAAGCACCTGGCTCCTGCCTTCGGATCAGCGTGGTGTGCTGGCCGCAGCGCGCCAGCCGTAGCGGCCATTGGATGGTGAACCAATTGTAAAAGGAAGACCTTTCTCTCTGTCTCTGTCTCTCTCTCTCTCACTATCCACTCTGCCTGTCAAAAAAAAAAAAAAAAAAAAAAAAAAAAAAAGAAAAGAAAAAAAAAAAAAAGACAGGAAACAGAGCTTGTTCAGGGATCTAGGAAGTCTGTTTGGGGTGAATAAGCTTAAGTTTTTCTTCCTTGCATCTTTACTTTCAAGTATTTTATTAGTTTCATTTGAGTTACATGATCATCCCATACTCCTTCCCCTTCTTGTCTTAATAAATTAATAAATAGAGAGTAGTGTAGAACACATAACTTGTAGGGTGAATCTTTAACATTAATTTAATCTTTAAATTAAAATTTAATCTTTAATTTAATATGAACCCATCTAAATATGTTTCTATGTTAAATAGGATATTTTATAAAGGTTTCTTAAAGATACCTTTTATCAGTTTAAGAAATTGTCCTTTCATTTCTAACTCCTTAACTGACTGAGATATAATTATTGAATTTTAATAAATGTTTTTCCATTTCTATTGAGATGATCATATTTTTTTAAAAAAAGATTTATTTATATATTTATTTGAAAGTCAGAGTTACACAGAGATAGGAGAGGCAGAGAGAGAGAGAGAGAGAGAGAGAGGTCTTCCATCTGCTGGTTCACTCCCCAACTGGCCACAATGGCCCGAGCTGCCCCAATCCAAAGCCAGGAGCCAGGAGTTGGAGCTTCTTCCAGGCCTCCCATGTGGGTGCAGGGGCCCAAGGACTTGGGCCATCTTCCACTGTTTTCCCAGGCCATAGCAGAGAGCTGGATTGGAAGTGGAGCAGCTGGGTCTCAAACCGGCACCCATATGGAATGCAGGCACTGCAGGCCAGGACGTTAACTCGCTGTACCACATCGCTGGCCCTGATCATTTGGTTTTTCTTCTTTAATCTGTTGTAGTAAATAATACCAATACATTTTCTAATGCGAAGATATACTTAAGTTTTGGGTATAAAACCATTTTGATCATGGTATATATTAGGATACTTTTTTAAAAAGTAGAAAAGTGGAATTACAAATTATTTTGATATAAGAAAATTTTGAAATCTATGTGTAGTTTTTTCATAATAGGCATTTCCCATAAACTTTTTGAAGACCACACATATGTGCAGATTTCAAAAATGTTTTGCACCAAAATAAACTTAACTTTTAAAAAAAAAAAAAAAGGTTTATTTATTTATTTGAAAGGTAGAGTTAGAGAGAGAGGGAGAGAGAGCGAGCCAGCGAGCTTCTATCTGCTGCTTCACTCCCCCATTGGCTACAACAGCCCAGGATTTGACCAGACCAAAGCCAGGAGCCTTAAATTCCATCAGGGTCTCCCACAAGGGTGGCAGGGGCCCAAGCACTTGCCATCTTCTATTGCTTTCCCAGGTGCATTAGCAGGGAACTGGGTCAGAAATAGAAGAGCCAGGGCTTGAACTGATGTTCCTCTGGAATGCCAGAATTGCAAGTGGTGGCTCAACCTGCTGTTCCACAATGTTGAATCTTAAATTTTTAATTCCACATTCCATGAACTTTTTGAAGTTCCTTCATATTTCAGGATTCCCTAAATTTTATGTACTTCTTTACCTTTGCGATTTTTGCTGCAACTATAAGTACCTGGTACTGTTTTTCTGCCAACATTCTCTTAAATACATGTAATTCTACGATTATGGAAATTAGAAAAATATTTTGCTTGCCATAAATAGGAGGTTAAAATAAATATTTAATTATTAAAAAGTATTTTTCTCTATACCATTAATACAATTTTCCTTACTATTCATCATGTATAAAACAGCTTATGGAGGGCATTGTTCTTATTGCTAAATTAATTTGAGAATATTTTACATAGGTTTTTGCATCTATATTCATAGGTGACATTAGCTTGTAGTTTTGTTTTTTTGTGGTATAAAGACTGGCATGTACCGTCCCTTTTAGTAAGTTAAGAAGCTCTCTATTTTGTATGCACCAGACATCTGGAGTAATACATGAGTTGTTTGTTCCTTGCAGTTCGGGTAGATCTCCTTCATAAAAAAAAAATCTTGGATCTTTTTTCTGGGCAGTTGAATTTTGATAACCCATTATGTCTCCTCTGTAATTATTGGTTTATTTATGAATTCTTACCTCTTTCTGAGTCAGTTTT